TTGTCTCATCTTTGCCATGGAGAAGTGTCTATACTTGTCGTCATATGACATTTCATTTGCTTCACCACCTTGTGGTTGGTTTAAGTCTCTTAATATTTTTATACAACTGTCAATGACACCAAGAGCAGAATGGTTTTGGTCGACAATGAAATATTGGTTTACATTTTTTGAACGCAGATAGTTTTTTACATCATCTGATTTGAAAGAACTTTCACAGTCAGATGTCAGTTTTGTTGGATGGTATTTGTCAACGAATATTGTCAAAGCTGCTAAGATATCTAAAATATTTTTGGACTGTAATGGTATGGCTTCACAGTATCTTGTGTTTTGACCAACAAATATTAGCCAGTATGGTGGTCCATCTGTTCTAACTCTCGGAATGTTTTCCAAGATATCCATAAACCAAGCATTCGGTGTTGAACTAAAGATTTTTACCATGAGTGCTTTCTTTGTTGCCTTAGAAACATAGGGGTCCTTGTTTGGATTCGTCATTTTTTAACCCATAAGAAATGGGTTTATTTGGCGCGTTAGCAGGAGTTGCATCCAGATTTTTACCCGCAGTGGGAACAAATAGCCAGAGGTGTATTTGGAGTTGGAAGGAAGATTTTGAGTACATTAGGTATACTTAAAGAGAAAGCACAACCTATTATACAAACTGTACAGAAAGGTTGGATGTAGCACGAGATGCAACAAATCTTATTCCAAATCCTGAAACAAGAGGAAAAGTTCAAGGATGGATGGACAATGTAGGAAGACAAGCAGGAAACTATTATAACAAAGCAAATGACTACTATAACCAAGCAGGACACTATATGGACCAAGGTGAAAGATTCTTTAACAGAGGATATAACCATGCACAACAATGGGTAAACAATAACCAACCTCAACCGCCTCAAACGTGGGGAATGTAAAATTTTTTACTGAGATGAAATGAACAATACAGCATTGAGACAAATGGGTTCAAGATGGATTTGTCGGCTTCCAGCAGTTACACAACGTGTTTGTCAAGTTCTTCCTATACCTCAGGAAGTTTTAGACCGACTTAAAAAACAACAACAACCAGTTGAAAACAAACCAAACTAAAATTTTTTACTGAGATGAAATGACCGAAGAAGTTGAAACCGTAGATTTGACACCACAAACAAAAAGTTCAGAACCATTGTCAAAACTGTCAAAGAACTTACAGATGAAGAGAAAAATTCAATAATAGAAGGTGCAAGGTCTGGAAATACAAACCCTAACTATAAAGTCACTTTTCATAGAAATGGAACGGCTAGTATCTCAAAAAAGAAACAGACTCTCACAAATAAAATATTGAAGTCTGAAGGAGCTTTCGAGACAACAGATGGAAAAGTTTACTTCACTGACCAACAGTTCATTATAGAACATCTCATTGACTTAGAGTCGAAATATTCTAAACTTTACAACAAACACAAAAAGTTGAAAGGAAAACAAAAACAAATGGCATATGATATTTATGAAGATGTTGACGACACAACCATACCAGCAAGTGAGGTAAAGTCAGGTGAACCGAAAAGTGACGAAAAACCGATAGAAGAAGAAAAACCAAAAACTGAAGATAAACCAAAACCAAAGTTTAGTATTGGAACTAAACCAAGTCAACCTTCATTAGCTGGTATGGGTTGGCGTCAAAGACTTATGGCAGCAAGTGCTTATGTAAAGTAAAGAAAAAAACATTTTTTTATTTTTATTTGAACTGTACGCTGAGTTTTGTTGGAGAAGACCGTTGGGAAACTTGTTTGTTACAGATGAGAAATATGAAATGGCATACCATTTTAAAACAATATATTTTTAAAAAATATTTTTTTATTTTATTTGAAATGTACGCTGAGTTTGTTGGAGAAGACCGTTGGGAAACTTGTTTGTTAGATGAGAAATATGAAATTCACTGTTGTGAGTCATTTGAAGTCAGAAACAAAAAGACAAAAAGAGTTTTAAGCGAATGTGAGCGAAATGACGGATATGCTAGGATGAGGATTGGTGGAAAACACTATTTTAAACATATTGTCATTGCAACTCATTTTATACCGAACCCTAACAATCTACCTTTTGTAGACCATATAAACCGTATAAGAAATGACAATAGACTTGAAAATTTACGTTGGGTTACTCGTTCTGAAAACAATAAGAACAAAAGCAAATTTAGAGATATTGTATTCGAATTTGTCGACGAACTAGAAGATGAAGCAATTGAAATTACAGACTATGGCAAGCATACGTTTGAGTTTTACTACTATAGCGAAGAACAAGACTCTTTCTACTTTTATACCGGCGTAAACTATAGAAAATTACAAGTATGTTTTACTAAGGATGGCTATGCTTATGTAAACACTAGAGATACAGATGGAAAACACGTTCCAATACTTCTTAACAAATTCAAGAAGCTATATGGCATACCATTTTAAAACAATATATTTTTACATATATTAAATGCTTCAGGTTGAAAAACAAAGAACAAAAGTAGCAGATACAAAACCGTTAGACTATATCTTTACAAACGCTGGTAGGACAATTTCAGATGAAGAAATTTCATCCGGTGCTTACAGATTTGACAGTTTATAGAAACGTGTTTGACCCTCAAAATGTTATGTGTCATGCAAGTTTCAGTTCAAGCAACAATAGTTTTCTTTGTATTGGTAAGGACGTTTATGACTTTGCTTCTAAATTCTACGAACCACCTAGTAACAGTTTCTCTGACTTTCAAGTTTGGTTCACAACAAATGGTGTGCAACATATAATACCATTGTACTATGACTTTTATCTCGAATTGTCTTTCATATACAACTACGGAAAAGTGCTGAAAAAGTATTGAAAAATAATGTTTATGTTAGAATGTTAGATCTAACACGTTTTCTAACATTTTTTCTAACATCGTAGAAAACTCATGAGTTTTATACAGAATTCGGCAAAAATGAGTTTTTGGTTGAAAAAAGAGGTGGAGCCAAAAGTGGCTCGACCTCAAAACAAGCATTTTGTGAAGAATATACCAACCCGCGGAAAACAGCGGGTTGCTTTTTATACAAAGTTCAACAGGTGAATTTTCATGAATTTCCTTAAGATAGAAAAAATAATGTTTATGTTAGAATGTTAGATCTAACCTCTTTTCTAACATCGTAGAAAACTCATGAAAACAATTTATTTTTGTGAATATGCAAGCGGCTCATAGCTCAGTGGTATGGGCTACCTCGTTAAAGGCGTCGAAGACCTCGGTTCAAATCCCGATTCGCGCAGGTTTTTTTCCTTTTATGCAGTGAAATTTCATGTACATAGGTTACTTTGGTGTTAGACCCTAGTGAAGAAAATAGAATGATATAAGTTTACATTTGTAAGGTTACTTTGGTGTTAGACCCTAGTGAAGAAAATAGAACGATATAAGTTTACATTTGTAAGGTTATTTTGGTGTTAGACCCTAGTGAAGAAAATAGAACGATATAAGTTTACATTTGTAAGGTTACTTTGGTGTTAGACCCTAGTGAAGAAAATAGAACGATATAAGTTTACATTTGTAAAGTTGGACGATAAAAATCTCTGCTACTGTCAGTAAAAGTACTGCTACTGTCAGTAAAAGTACTGCTACTGTCAGTAAAAGTACTGCTACTGTCAGTAAAAGTACTGCTAATGTCAGTAAAAAGGAAAATTTGAGAGGGTTTTCGACGATAAAGTACTGCTACTGTCAGTAAAAGTACTGCTACTGTCAGTAAAAGTACTGCTACTGTCAGTAAAAGTACTGCTACTGTCAGTAAAAGTACTGCTACTGTCAGTAAAAGTACTGCTACTGACAGTAGCAGTACTGCTAGTAGCAGAGATTTTTATCGTTGTGGTCCGACGGTTAAGCCACAAACGAATGTCCGACGTCCCACCAAAAAATATTTTTTATTTTTATTGTAAGAACAGAAATGTCAGTCGAAGCAAAAACGTTCACGAACAAATCTAATGGCGAAACATTCACAAAAGGCACTTACAACGGTATTGAAGTCTTACGTAGAGACATGGATGGTTATATAAATGCAACAAAGATGTGTCAGCAGTTTAGGAAAGACTTTAGAAGGTTGTTGGAAAATAAGTCCTGGGAAGAGTATTTTAAGGCATTTTGTGAAGAATATACCAACCCGCCGAAAACAGCGGGTTGCTTTTTATACAAAATTCATGCAGGAATTTCTGATGAAATCAAACAGGTTAGAGGAACGTATGTAGACCCAAGACTTCTAAACTATATAGCAATGTGGGCTTCTCCAAAATATTGTATAGCAGTTGGAAAAATTCTGGACTCCATAGACAAGAAAGTTCATGAGAAATTAGATGAAGAAGAACTTGAAGATACAGTAGAGAATGCAAAACCTTTGTTCGAAGAAGAAGTTAGAAAAATGTGCTTAAACAAATAGAACATGAACGTGAGATATGTTCTGGTTATAGAGACTCGCCATACGAACTAGACCAATGGGAACAAGAAGATTTAAAGAGAGAATTTAGAGAATATGAACTCGCTAAGATAGCATTAGAAGCTGCAGAAAAGAAGTTAAAAGCTTGGGGTTGTTTTGTACAAAAATATTGTGAGTAAATGAACCATTTTTTTCGACAAAAATAATGTTTATGTTAGAATGTTAGATCTAACATGTTTTCTAACATGTTTTCTAACATGGTCTAAAACTCTTGAATTTTCATGAATTTCTTCGTATATGTTTTGTCAAAACTTCTTCATCGTAAATGTTTTGTCAAAACTTCTTCATCGTAATGAGTGTAAAGGACCCAAAAATAATGTTTATGTTAGAATGTTAGATCTAACATGTTTTCTAACATGTTTTCTAACATCGTAGAAAACTCTCGAAATTCATGAAATTTACACCAAAAATAAAAAATAAAATTAGTTTTATTTTTTTTTATTTTTTTTATTTTGTATAAAAGATATGATTTCAACAATCGGCACAACAACAGTTCAAACAACTACAGCACCAAACTCGTTAGTCATGAATCCTACGTCAATGTTGGTAGAGATGAAAAGCTTCATTCCTTCTTCATATACTTTTGAAACAAAAATCCAGAAGATAAAGCAAGAACTTTTAACAAATAATTTAGACTGTAGTGCGAAAGATGAAACAAATGAACAGTATCTTTATGAAATGCAGGACCTCATCGACCATTTACCCAAATTGCCTGAAATTCAGCAGCAAAAACTCACTATTCCCGAATTTGACGAAATAGAAGTCAAAGCAACTGACTCGGTAGAAATAAAGAAGTTCATACGTAAGGTAAACTATGAGTTTCTTGGATTTCATTGCAACCACAAAGTCATGGACAAAGATTGCGACATGGTATATAAGAACATCTCTGACATATATAAATCTGAAGAATTTAAGACCTACGACAACTTTGTTTCGTTAGTTGCTGAATGTGTATGGCAGATAAGAGATAAAGATAGAAGAGGCAAAGTATGGAACGAACAAATAAGACCCGCTATGTTTGAGTTAAAGAAAACCATTGACGCCTTAGTTGTTTTAGCAGGTAAGGTTTCAGAATATAACGCAAAAATGAACCCGCAATGTTCTAAATGTAAAGCAGCAATGAGGAAATATAACTACTCCGTCAAAGAGATAGAACGTATGAGAAACGACTTGGCAGACTTAAAGAAAGAAGCAGAAAAGCCAGCAGAAGATAAAATGGACATGTTAGCATTTCTGAACAAAAACTATCCAACTGCAGAAGATTTCCTTCTATCTGATGTCAAGAAGAAGTATAAAGAAACTTTCGGTATCGTTAAAACATTCGATGTACTGACAGAAGAAATAGAAGCTACAAAATTGTTTAGAGTCATGAACCATCGCAACATATACCATGTAAAACGCTTGTAAATAGTTATGTTAGAAAACGTGTTAGAAAACATGTTAGAAAACATGTTAGATCTAACATGCTAACATAAACATTATTTTTACTGAATTCCGTATGAAATTTCATGAGTTTTGTGTGTTTTAGACCATGTTAGAAAACGTGTTAGAAAAGGTGTTAGATCTAACATTCTAACATAAACTTTATTTTTATTGAATTCCGTATGAAATTTCATGAGTTTTGTGTGTTTTAGACCATGTTAGAAAACGTGTTAGAAAACGTGTTAGATCTAACATGCTAACATAAAATATATTTTTACTGAATTCAGCAACAAAAATCATGAATTTCATTAGTTATTTTGTATGTAAAGACAGTAATGACGAAGTTGCTGAAAAATACATGTAAAGCGTTTATTTTTGGTCTTGCATAAAACTCATGAAAATCATGAATTTCCTTAAGATAGAAAAAATAAAGTTAGTTTTATTTTTATTTATTTTTTTATTTTGTATGTAAAGACAGATATGTCAACAACAGAGAACACAACAACAGTTATAGTCCATGAAGCTATAAATGAAGAATATGAGTGGGTTCAGTTTAACAAACAACTCCGTCTCATTCGTTCGGTCAAAGACGATATGTACCAAATGCAAAGTATTTTGACAGCATGTTTTGCTCCAGATACTAAGCTTCCTAAAGACTGGTTTAGGAACCAAAGCACACAAGAACTTTTGAGCGAAGCACAGCGAGACATACTTTTTTCTGAAAACAGTGAAGAACAGCGAGTAGGTACAAAACCCCAGTCGCCTAAAACTCATGAAAATCGTGAAAAATTGCCAAACGGTTTGAGAGGATATTATGTACATAGACTTCTTGTAAATGCAGTTGCAATATGGGCTTCGCCTCGTTATGCTTGGTATATTTACAGACTTCTTGACGAAATTCATAGACAAGAACGTGAAGAGCTAGAGAACAAGCTTGAAGCAAAAGATAAAAGCATACAGAAAAGAATACCACGTTCGGTACCAAAAGGTAAGGAAAAGAACTATAAGTATATGATTTATACTGAAGAGATGGAAAATGAAGAAGACAGAGATATGGTTATGTTGCATTTAGTCAGAAGAAACAACAAAAGCTTTTACGACCTTGCTAAGATTTACAAATCTGACAGAAATTGGTTCTATCGCGAAAACTTACCGATTTCAATGACACCAAATGAAGATGTGAAACAAATAGTTCAAGATACTTTACCTCAAACACACTATGATATTAAAGGTTGTACAATACTTACCTTCAAAGAAGATTTGCCATTGTTAAAGGAAAAAATAACAGAGTATTTTGACAACTTCAAACAAGCAGGGTAGATGAACTCTTTATTTTTACGCTTGACTTCAGATGGCTCAGGTAGCTCTATAAGGTAAATTGTCTTGTCAAATCCTTCTGGCATTCCAAGTCCTTCCTTCCGACATTCCAAGTTCTTCCTTCTGGCATTCCAAGTTCTTCCTTCCGACATTCCAAGTCCTTCCTTCCGACAGGAAAAGTCCTTCCTTCCTACAGGAAAAAATTTTCTTGACAACTGGAAAAAAATTTCCTGTTGTTCGTCCGTAAACCATTCAAATTTTCGAAAATTGAGAACTTTTTGGTCGAACTTCAGAAAAAGTTTTTCCTTCCGACAGAAAAAGTTTTTCCTTCCGACAGAAAAAGTTCTTCCATCCAACAGGAAAAGTTTTTCCTTCCAACAGGACACAAACGAATGTCCGACGTACCTCTTCCTGAATGTCTTCCAAAGCCAGAAGAACCGACAGCCCCAGCACCACAACAGACTAAGACTAAAACACTTACATTTTTCAAGCTTGACTTTTTACAATTTGAACTTTGTTTGCGTAGATATGAATTCTGAAAGAAGTATGAGGGTCTTGTATGACTTTGTACTTCTCCCATAGTTCATGTCTGTCAAACTTACCTGCCATGGACTCTTTCATAAGTTCCATGAAATCGTCTTCGGACAATCCGGGGAAAAGTATAATGTCAGTAAGTATTCTTTTAACATCCTTACTTAAACTCTTTGCTGTCTGTACACATATTACGACTGAGATGTTAAAGTGTCTGAGCTTCTTAAGAATTCGACACATGTCTTGTTCTCTGTTCTTTAACAAAGGATGAGAGGCGAAATCATCTAAGATAAGAAGACATCTGTGAGGGTATGTCTTCCAATCGTAAGATTGCAATTTCTTCGAAATGTATTCTATCTCTTTCTGTTTGTTTCTGAAGTGTTTCTTCTCTAATATTCTCTGCATTTCCTCATTTGGGTCTTTAAACTTCGAATTTATATACTCATTTATAGCATTGTACTTCAAAACCCTTCTTTGGTACTTCTTTATCCAATCTAACAACTCAGAGTCTTTTATACATACTAACTTAGACTTCTTTATAATATTTTTGAACGAATTGACGGTTTGGTCAAATTGACCAGAAGTACTACAAATAACAACTAACTCATAGAATGGGTTCTTCTCATCTAGTTCTTGTTGTTGTGCAGCCATTTTAAGATAAGTGAAAGTCTTACCCGACCCAGGTGGTGCAATTAGACCTGTTATACCATTCTGAGCAAATAAGAACTTGTCATGTATGGGTTTTATCTGAGCATTTTCCAACTTCCTCTTGTTCTTGTTTAAAACCTTCTCAAATTTTTTGTCAATGTCAGCAAACTTTTTTTCTAACATATTTTTAGAAAAATTAAAATTTTTATCTTTTAGAAAATGTCTAGCGATTTCGCTATCTATATTCGAGACAAACTTTTTGACAGTAAAACATCTGTCGACCATAAAATCTTACATAGTGTAAACAAGAAAGGTGAATTTGTTCTAAAGTTCTGTTTCTGGGAATATGACAAGAACCATAAAACATTAGGCAGAGCAGTCTTTAAGTTTGTCAATGACAGACTTGTTGACAGAGATGACGCCTCTTGGAAAGATGAAGTCCAACAAAAGTTCTTAGAATGCAAAGAAGACACATGCGCTGTTCTTGAAGATGAAATAGAAAACAGAATAGAAGAGCTATTAAAGGACAAAGAACTTTTACAGAAATATGGTTCTGAGAAATTTGACGTCTCACCACCAGAAAAGAAGAAGAAAGGAAAGAAAGAGAAAAAAGTAGAAGAGAAGAAAGAACCTGAACCAGTTCCAGAGAAAAAGAAATTTGACATGTAAAAATAAAATTTTATTTTTAGAACATTTCTGGGTCAATGTCAATGTTCTCTTCCTCTTTAGGAGCAAACACTGGCTTAGACTCTAAAATCTTTTTACCCAATTTACCTTGAACTTCTACAACTTTAGACTCATAATATTCATAGTCGTCTGTCTTCTTTGGTTCATAAGGTATAACAAGTTTGTATGCTTTACCTTCTTCAAGTTTTGAGAACTTTCTGTCAAAATTTTCTTTGACTGTTAACAAACCTTCTATGTCTAAGTCTTCAAATTTCGCACCATTTTTAGTCACAATAGCAAACTTAACTGGTTCGATGTTCCAAACTTTGTCAAATGTAGACTTTTCAAAATGGTAGAAGTAAATATTCAAATATGTGAATGGGTCTAGTTCTTCTTTGACTTCTGTCATGTACTTGTTTACTGAGATGAATTTCGTCATCTTTTCTATCGGATAAAAAAATATTTTTTTTAAAAAACGTTTTAAAATGGTATGCCATATAGCTTCTTGAATTTGTTAAGAAGTATTGGAACGTGTTTTCCATCTGTATCTCTAGTGTTTACATAAGCATAGCCATCCTTAGTAAAACATACTTGTAATTTTCTATAGTTTACGCCGGTATAAAAGTAGAAAGAGTCTTGTTCTTCGCTATAGTAGTAAAACTCAAACGTATGCTTGCCATAGTCTGTAATTTCAATTGCTTCATCTTCTAGTTCGTCGACAAATTCGAATACAATATCTCTAAATTTGCTTTTGTTCTTATTGTTTTTCAGAACGAGTAACCCAACGTAAATTTTCAAGTCTATTGTCATTTCTTATACGGTTTATATGGTCTACAAAAGGTAGATTGTTAGGGTTCGGTATAAAATGAGTTGCAATGACAATGTTTAAAATAGTGTTTTCCACCAATCCTCATCCTAGCATATCCGTCATTTCGCTCACATTCGCTTAAAACTCTTTTTGTCTTTTTGTTTCTGACTTCAAATGACTCACAACAGTGAATTTCATATTTCTCATCTAACAAACAAGTTTCCCAACGGTCTTCTCCAACAAACTCAGCGTACATTTCAAATAAAATAAAAAAATATTTTTTTAAAAATATATTGTTTTAAAATGGTATGCCATTTCATATTTCTCATCTGTAACAAACAAGTTTCCCAACGGTCTTCTCCAACAAAACTCAGCGTACAGTTCAAATAAAAATAAAAAAATGTTTTTTTCTTTACTTTACATAAGCACTTGCTGCCATAAGTCTTTGACGCCAACCCATACCAGCTAATGAAGGTTGACTTGGTTTAGTTCCAATACTAAACTTTGGTTTTGGTTTATCTTCAGTTTTTGGTTTTTCTTCTTCTATCGGTTTTTCGTCACTTTTCGGTTCACCTGACTTTACCTCACTTGCTGGTATGGTTGTGTCGTCAACATCTTCATAAAATATCATATGCCATTTGTTTTTGTTTTCCTTTCAACTTTTTGTGTTTGTTGTAAAGTTTAGAATATTTCGACTCTAAGTCAATGAGATGTTCTAATGAATGAATTGTTCAGTGAAGTAAACTTTTCCATCTGTTGTCTCGAAAGCTCCTTCAGACTTCAATATTTTATTTGTGAGAGTCTGTTTCTTTTTTGAGATACTAGCCGTTCCATTTCTATGAAAAGTGACTTTATAGTTAGGGTTTGTATTTCCAGACCTTGCACCTTCTATTATTGAATTTTTCCTTCATCTGTAAGTTCTTTGACAGGTTTTGACAATTCTGAACTTTTTGTTTGTGGTGTCAAATCTACGGTTTCAACTTCTTCGGTCATTTCATCTCAGTAAAAAATTTTAGTTTGGTTTGTTTTTCAACTGGTTGTTGTTGTTTTTTAAGTCGGTCTAAAACTTCCTGAGGTATAGGAAGAACTGACAAACACGTTGTGTAACTGCTGGAAGCCGACAAATCCATCTTGAACCCATTTGTCTCAATGTTGTATTGTTCATTTCATCTCAGTAAAAAATTTTACATTCCCCACGTTTGAGGCGTTGAGGTTGGTTATTGTTTACCCATTGTTGTGCATGTTATATCCTCTGTTAAAGAATCTTTCACCTTGGTCCATATAGTGTCCTGCTTGGTTATAGTAGTCATTTGCTTTGTTATAATAGTTTCCTGCTTGTCTTCCTACATTGTCCATCCATCCTTGAACTTTTCCTCTTGTTTCAGGATTTGGAATAAGATTTGTTGCATCTCGTGCTACATCCCAACCTTTCTGTACAGTTTGTATAATAGGTTGTGCTTTCTCTTTAAGTATACCTAATGTACTCAAAAATCTTTCCTTCCAACTCCAAATACACCTTCTGGCTATTGTTCCCACTGCGGGTAAAAATCTGGATGCAACTCCTGCTAACGCGCCAAATAAACCCATTTCTTATGGGTTAAAAAATGACGAATCCAAACAAGGACCCCTATGTTTCTAAGGCAACAAAGAAAGCACTCATGGTAAAAATCTTTAGTTCAACACCAATGCTTGGTTTATGGATATCTTGGAAAAACATTCCGAGAGTTAGAACAGATGGACCACCATACTGGCTAATATTGTTGGTCAAAACACAAGATACTGTGAAGCCATACCATTTACAGTCCAAAAATATTTTAGATATCTTAGCAGCTTTGACAATATCGTTGACAAATACCATCCAACAAAACTGACATCTGACTGTGAAAGTTCTTTCAAATCAGATGATGTAAAAAACTATCTGCGTTCAAAAAATGTAAACCAATATTTCATGTCGACCAAAACCATTTGCTCTTGGTGTCATTGACAGTTGTATAAAAAATATTAAGAGACTTAAACCAACCACAAGGTGGTGAAGCAAATGAAATGTCATATGACGACAAGTATAGACACTTCTCCATGGCAAAGATGAGACAAGTTTTAAATATTTACAATAGCCGTAAACAAAAAGGTTTGGGAAACCACTCCCCCGAAGAAATGAAAAAACAACCCCGACTTAGAGAAAGACTATATATTTAATAGTTTAGTCAAAAGAGACAAACAAGAAAGAATGCCAGGCTTCAAACTTCGGCAAGGGTGACAAAGTAAAAATAGAAATACCTAAACGTGACCCATATGAAAATACTATTGACTATGACAACAATGGGAACCCGACAGGTACTCACATTCGTGTTCGTAAAAAATAGAAGAAAGTATACAGAGAATATTATGAAGTTTTAGGCAAACATGGCAAAATGTACAGACTGCAAGCAGAAGATAAAACTACTATTGTCAGACTCGTTTCAAACTTGTCAAAGTTCAAGGTGGTATACTTTCAAAGGACAGTTCCTAACAAATATAAGACAACTCCTGACGAATATGCTAAAGAAGTTGAAAATGACGACTAAGCAATTCTATACCATGCGTAAACTGTCATGTAAGGTGCATGTATTCTTTACTTTGTCCCGTTGTTTGCGTATATCCTGAAACGAAATGTGTATGGTTTCCTTCTCCCTGAGTGTCATCCCAGTAACAATTTATAGCAAACTTAACGTTGTCTTTAACATCATATCCTTGACCTTTGTCATTCCTGACCAATCCCAATATCTATGCTTATGCCAACCTGCTTGAGATGTACTTAAATCTATGTAGTGACTGTGTGCAGGTAAATTTTCACCTGAAATCGTTTTACTTCCACCTGTTTCCTTTGAAGAGTTTGCACAATACAAAAACCTGTCGACTATTGAGTCCATGCACCAACACCAAACATTACTTGAGGACCTCTTGCTTCCATAGATGTATAAATAGAACCTACTGGGTTCATTAAATCAAACATATGAGATATTATAGGATTGTCTCTTTGAACTTAAAATATAGTGCAACTATTTCAGGTTTCCTCTGGTTTAAGTCAGAATATTTTTTATAATATAATCTTATGTTTTCAGGGTAGGTAAAATCTTGACTATAAGATTTATTTCTGTCATCTTCATAATAGTATACTATTCTCGTTTTTTCTATTGCATTATATCTTTTATATCTATAAAAATCTAAATATAATGTTAGCTTTTGTTCATCTACATGTGGTGTTCTGACGTCATCTCCATAGTCATAATAGTATGGTGCTGGAGCTGGTCAGGCAATGTCATATCTGTCATTTCATAAACTCGGAAATATTTCTTTTGTTCGTCTCCATATAAGTTTAAGTAGCAGTTGTTGTCTAATGGAACTTTAACTTGTGTACCATCGTTCTTTTTATAGCTTACATACATTTCATTGTTATTTTTCGGAATGAGTTTATACCGTATACCATTTTTTAAGGAGTGTACAAACTGCCATCTAAAATATTTGTTTTCTCATTGACAGAAAAGTCACCAACAATAGTTTCAATATTTTTTGTTCCAACTAAACTTTGGTATATTTCATTGACATATGTTTTATCTGCTTTTGTCTCTAATGTTTCTTGTAAGTTTGCAATATTTGCAATGGTATGTGTATGTCCAACGTCACTTTTACTGTTTAAGGTTTCTTGTAAGTTTGTAATATTTGCAATGGTATGTGTATGTCCAACGTCACTTTTACTGTTTAAGGTTTCTTGTAAGTTTGTAATATTTGCAATGGTATGTGTATGTCCAACGTCACTTTTACTGTTTAAGGTTTCTTGTAAGTTTGTAATATTTGCAATGGTATGTGTATGTCCAACGTCACTTTTACTGTTTAAGGTTTCTTGTAAGTTTGTAATATTTGCAATGGTATGTGTATGAGTCTTTTTAGAATATTCTTTGTCAGCTCTTGTCACTTCACTTGACATTTTATTGTCAACATATGTTTTGTCTGCTAGTTCAGGATGAGTATGTTCTTTTGTTGCATAAGCTTTGTCAGCTCTTTCTTCTTCTTTTGCTATTGCATCGTCTACATATGTTTTGTCTGCTTTGTTGTCAACATCTGCTTTCAAAAGAAGTTCATCTATAGGTTTCTCGTTTAAAGTTCTTTTTGTTGGATTTATACAAACAGTATGGTTCTTACTGTCTTGAAACAGAAACTCATCTGTCATTGGGTTTAATGTCAGTTTTAAGTTTCCTTCTTTCAATGACTCAGATATCTTAGAATAGTTTGAAAAGTTTGTTGTGTTCTTATTTAGAGCTTGCATAATGAGTTGTCGGTTGTGTTGTATTTCTCTCATAGACGCTGTTTCTTTCGACATTTTTATTCTAGATAAAATATGCTTCCAATAGAAAAAGAAAATTCAAGAGTTGCTACAACTAAACCATTAGATGAACTTTTTACTAATGTCGGTCAAAAGTTTGAGACAGAGACCGTAAAGCATGAAGGCTATCGTTTTGACTACCCATTGAGATGGCTAAGAGACCCATCCGTCACAAAAGCTATTGGCTTTCGTAGAATGAAGTTCATTTCAGAAGCCATACATGGTTTCCCATTTACGGTCGGTTTTGAAGTTCGATACTATAACAAAGAAAAACGTACGTATGAGAAATTTGAACAGGGAAAACTTTTACAAGTGAATTTGCTTGTAAACTTAGAAACAACTCTTCAAGCTTTTCAAGAAAAAATAAACGATATCTATCTCGAATATGCAAAACAGTACAACATTGACGAAGGAGAGTACCATCTCGATATTTTATATGACAGGAAAAATGCAACTGTTAAAATCAATAGAATAGAAGACCTTGGAGAAAACGTTTATATTTCTACAAAATATAACAACTTGGCATGGTATAGATTTTTGAGGATGTTAAATCAGCCTGCAGCATATCCAGTACACCCGAACTTTTATGAAGTCGAAAACCCTAATGGAACGTATGAAAATGTTTTCGACTCAGATGCTATTATCGTTCATGCTTCATTTTCTGGTGCACAAAACTCTTTTTTATGCTTGGCAAATGACTTTTACGAAAAACCTACAAAGTTATACGAACCACCAAGTGGAAGTATTTCAGACTTTCAAGTATGGTTTACTACAGATGGAAGAAAAAGAATAATTCCATTATACCATGCGTTTTACTTAGAACTTAGTTTCATATACAACTACTATCGAACGGTAAAAATATAATTTTTTAATACGGTTGAGGTGTTGGATTTGGTTGCCAACTTGACTGTGGTGCAGGTTCAGGCTGTTGTATAACAGGAGCTTGTTCTTCTGGTTCAGGGTCTTTAGGTATAATACCAACAAACTGACCTACCCTTTTACCAATATTTTTGACTCCGTTCCAAATTCCTTTTCCGACAGATTTTATTCCATTCCATATACCTCTTCCAACATTTCGAAAGAAGTTTCCTATTCTTCCAAAGAAACCCATTTTACTATATGTAAAAATCTAATGTCCACCTAGTCTCTTACGTTTCCTTCTGAGTTCCATAGCATTTTTTAACTGGAGCTCATACATTCTGTTTCTCCTCTGGTAGAAAACATATTCTGGGTCAACTCCTGTGTTCGCGTCATCTGCATAAAGTTGTTTATATCCCACTTCAGGGTTTGTATAAAACTCTTTCCATCTCATATTTGCATACCATGGTGGCAAACCTAACGCAGCGTCATTTGACATGGCAGTTTGCATTTGTACATCTGTTGGCACTTGACCATAGTTTGCCATTGCAGTTTGTATTCTAACTTCATTTGGAATATTCTCTGGGTTTGGTTGTCCAGGTTGCTGTGCATTCGCTAAGTTCTGTGCGTCCATTTAATATTAGATAAAAATATCTCTTACGAGTACATATGCTGAACATTTGCAGGCATTGGTTCATCTTCATATTCTCTGTACTTTTCTGCCACGTCAAATAAATAAATGACACAATGGAAAAAACCTAAAACAAGTAGTCCTATTTCAAACCACATTTACTTACTAGTAAAATTTCTTTGTTATGACACTTTCTCCGGTTTATAGGACCTCTCTCATATTCTATCTTGTCATATCTAAACTCATAGTCATGTATGTCCTCTAACCATCTCATAACGGTTTCCAAACCACTTTTATCGGATGTAAAGTAAAAGCATGGATGGTTATGTATAACGTCTAAAGTTTCTAAAGAGTCTCTCAAAGTCCAGTCTACTTGGTATTGAAAATCGCATGTGTTATAGAACGGCGGGTCCACTATAAAGAAAATATTTTCCTTGTCTTTATATTTTTCATACAACTCTGTCCAATGACATCTCACAAACTCTATACCCTCAATATATTTTTCTATGTCCTCTTTGAAAACATTTGTATAGTTAAGATATAAAACTTTTGACATAAGTGTTTCAATGTCATGAACTCTTATAGAACCACTATATAATAGTCTAGCAGATATACTATCCCAGTCTATATATTCTGCTTTTTTCAAAACTTCACCTACAATATATTTTTTATCTAATGGTATACGTTCCATCTTACCTATAGGTATCTTTTCTTTTAACTCTTTCAATATATTGTTTGTGTCTGGTATATGTTTGAGACGGTCCATATAGTTGTCGAAGTCATTGCATATAATCTTTGAGTCTGGGAATATTGTATGGCACAAATGGGATATATAGAAACTTCCACCGAACAAATCTACAAATGTTAGACCATTCGGTAGTTTCTTAAGTTCTCTCAATAGAATATCTTTACATCTACTCTTATTTCCAAAGAAGGGTAACGGTGGTTTTGTAAAATTCATTTTATATATAATAAAAATGTTTTTACCTGAAAAGTGACAGAAAAGTGACAAAACATTTACGAAGAAGTCTTGACAAAACATTTACGATGAAATTCATGAGTTTTCTACGATGTTAGAAAACATGTTAGAAAACGTGTTAGATCTAACATGCTAACATAAACATTATTTTTGGTCATTTACGCTCATTACGAAGAAGTCTTGACAAAACATTTACGATGAAATCATGACAAAACATTTACGAAGAAGTCTTGACAAAACATTTACGAAGAAGTTTCGACAAAACATGAAAACATATATAATTTGTGAAAAGCTCCTGGAAGACCCGTATATAAGAACTTCATTTATGTGGGCTAGAAGGCACGAAGTGCCTGGAAGCCCACCCCAAGAAAAAAAAACTTCATTATATCAATCATCCTCAGGGCTAGAAGGCACGAAGTGCCTGGAAGCCCCACTACCTTTTTTTTTTTTTTTTTTTTTTTAAATATATTATCAAATGAGAGAAAATCACTCAACAAAAAAAACAATTCTTTCAAAAAGTTTGACATTGATCTTTCTAATACATATTTTTGGAAAGGCGTAAGATACGCCAACTTAAATATATTATTAAATATGAGAAAATCGCTCAACAAAAAAACAATTCTTTCAAAAAGTCTAAAATTTATCTTTCTAATACATATTTTTGGAAGGGCGTAAGATACGCCAACTTAAATATATTATTAATTATGAGAAAATCGCTCAACAAAAAAACAATTCTTTCAAAAAGTTTGACATTGATCTTTCTAATACATATCCTATGGAAGGAGTTTACATTCACAAAATAAAAACCAGTTCAAAATCTTATTACTCCTTGAATTAAAATCATTTAATTTCAAATCCATTCCAAATCCTTAAATCTGTATTAAAATCATTTTGCCAACAACCAATACAATACAAATTACATTTCCATATATCTTCTTGTCCATTTTAATTTTTTATCTCATTTTATTTAATTTTATTTAAAGCATATAGACATCGAGATCCTTTACACATAGTTATATAAAAGTCAAATACATAATAAATTCTTAATTCTAGAGATATCTCAAAATCTCATTTTTTTAATTTAAAATACCTTTCATTTTTCACAGTACTATCAAAAAAAAAAAAAAAAAAAAAAAAAAGGTAGTGGGGCTTCCAGGGGCTGCGCCCCTTCTAGCCCCGAAGATGTTTAGTAAAAAATGAGGTTTTTATTCGGAAAATTGTTAGTCTTCTGGTGTGAATTCGGAGGACTCTTCTTGGATAGAGTCTTGTGTTTCCTCCTCCTCTTCTTCTTCCTCCATTGCTTCTGGGAAGAAGCCTTCTTCTGGGTCGAAAACATTATATAATGTGTAATTGAATGACACATTATATCTTTCTTTGAGTTCGCTCCTGACAAAGAACTTAGTTCCAGGAATACAGAAGACTTCTGTGCGTTGGAAAAGCTGATGTCCTGGAACAAATTTGGCAATTAGAGACTTCTTTTTTCCGAATTGTTCAGGAGTTTCCATGACGACAGTAAACAACATCTCCATCTGCGAGGTCTTGTTGTTGTTCGGAAAGGTAAAGAGCAATGATATAAATGGTTGCTGCGTTGAATTCGAGAAAGTCGAATTCAAATTGTGTAGTCGTATAGCAGTCAAACCATTTTGTACAGTTGTCTCCGAACTCGTCAATGTATTCATCTTGGTCATATCCGTAACTAAAGACTTGGAATTCGGCAATTCTCTTGTCGAATGACCGTTGCATGTAACGAGGAAGATTTTGACGAACTTGGTATAAAGTTCTCAACATTATAAGCTTAGTAAATGTTGGAAAATACTGAACTAAGACATCGCTAAGCTCAATTGGACTTGGAATTGTCTTAGTAAGTTCAATTGAACTAGCAATTGCTTTGTTCAGAACTTCACAGAACTGAGTATTGTATATAGCGTCTGGTTGTGTGTTTTCTTCGGCGTCTTTGAGATATTTAGAGCAAATTTGTTGAAGAATTTCTCTTAATTCGCTGTTAGACTTTTTGGCGGTTATTCTAACAGCTGTGCCAGTTCTTGGAGGTTGTGGGGCTTTGGCTTTGGTTAGCGGTTGAGAATTGTTAATGTTGGCTTCCATTAGACAAAAATAAACTGTTTTTTTCGGACTACTCATAGAAAAGTTTAAAATAAACCGTTTTCGTCAACGGTAACCCCCTCTATTTTTTTATTTTATTTAATAGTTACCGTTGGCAAACCGTTCCATCTCAAATATTGAATGAACTATAAACGTTTTTTGTTTTCTATATATACTTTTTTGTCCAACGGTAAAACTTTTTACACAACGGTTTTTGAGAGTCGTAGCCGTTGACTTTTTTGTAGAGCACTCAAAATAGTACAGCTTTGTCCGGACAAGTAAGGGTCTATCGTCGCTACAGGAAAAGTTACAGGCGTTCCAAGGAAGTATACTTTGAGAAGACTTTCCCCTTATAGAATGAGATAGGACGGTTATTTTACAAAACTGACAACACTTTGACCGAGTAGTTTTTTGTGCTGAACAAAAAGTGTCATATAAACATCTGTCAAAAACCGCTTTTTAACTTCACTTAAAATGCCACGTAAGCTACGTAAGAATATACGTAAGAGGAAGAGAGCATTGAAACATCCAATAGTAAAACTGACACCACAACAACAGTTGCAACAACAAATGCTGAATGACCCCACTATGTTGCAACAAATGTCAAGCAATCCTATGCTTTTAAACCGAGTTGTTGGTGCACAGAGTGGAGGTTTAAGAGCGGCACTTTTAGCGAAAATGGCAGGCTATGGTGGAGCTGCAGACGGAACAGCCTATAACCCTCAAAGTCAAATGAATTTGAGTTCACTCAAAAATCAAATAACAGATGTCAAAAAGTCAAACATAGACATACAGAAGCAAATAAGTGAAAACGAAAAGAAACTAGAATATGACAGACACACAAAGAAACTCAATGAGTTAAACGTAGAGAAAAAGAAGAAAGAAGAACAACTGAAAGAACTAAGTACAGAGGAATATGCGAAAAAAGTGTCAGAAAAAGCAGCAGAAGTAGCAAAAATGGAACAAGATGTTGTAAATTTGAAAAACCATACTACTCAATATAAAGTACTGAAAGATGAAGAGATAAAACAAAAAGCCCTGAAGACATATATGGATAGCGATGAGTATAAAAAAGAAGTTGAAGCAAATGTAAAGGCAGAAAAACTTTTACAGTTGCAAAACCAAACCGTACAGTATGAAAACTTAGCACAAGAAAGTAAAAATAACGACGCAGCCATGCAAAAGGCAATGAAAAGCGCAGAATATATAAAAGCTAATAATGACTGGTTAGATGCCCAAGCCAACGCTAAAGCAGCCCAACTTATAGGGTCAATAAGGACAAAAATACAAGCGGATGAAGACAGTTCAAATGAAGCTTTAACAAATGCTGACTTTAAGAACGCCTTCGAAGCTCTTCATAGTAAGGTGAAACAAGTGAACGACTTCTCATCTGGAAAGAAACTGAAGTCTGAAGGTTTCGACAACGAGTTAAGAGAAGTAGCACAAAATATGACGAAAATAACAGATGCAGCAACGAGACAGGCAGTTCAAAGTGCCTATGACGCCGTTAGAGCAACTGTTGTGAAAAGTCAAGAAAAAGAGTTACAACAGACCAAAACAGACCTAGTAAATGCTTTCTTAAAAACGAAAAGTCAGGTAGGACATTACGCTGCAGATGGAACATATGTGCCAGCTGGTGGAACTTATATACCACCAAACCCTCCAAGAGAAGCACCTGCACCAGGACTACCTAGAACATTTACATCGTCACATGGACACAGACACAGGCATGCACAACAACCACCTCCACAACCAGCACAACAACCAACACAACAACCAGCACAGCAACCAACAGTTCAAAACCCTGCACAACAACAACCACAAACAGAGCAAGGACATAAAAGAAGTAGAGAACAAGGAAACCAAGAATTCTTAAAAATGCTTAAAGAAGAGTGTGGTTTCCCAGATACTGTTGACTTTAGTGACAGATATAAAGAAGCTATTGGAAAGTTCAAGGATGGAAATACTGACCCGAACCTATTTAGCTTTATGGCTCAGCACCAAAACGGATATAATCTCAAACCTGGAAAATACAAGCTCGCTAAGGGATATGATTTAATAGCATATCATCCAAATGACATGGATGAATTTACTCCGAGATATTTGATGTCAGAGCTAAATGACAATTCAACTTTCGTCATGAAACGCGTAAAAAATAGAGACGGAACGAAAGAACAAAAGCTTATGAATGCGGATGACGTAGATAGGGAAATTGTTGAAAACGGTCTCGGAATATATGAAATGCCAGCAGATGAGGTACAAGAAACTCCACAGGAAGAAGTTCAGATACAACCAGACATGGAAGAAATAGTTCAGCAACAACAGCTAGAAGAGCCTGAAGGAAACGAACAAGTCCTTCCTTTGGAAACTAACTTCACAGAACTAGATGAAGATTTGGAACAGCCGAAAAATCTTGACCCTCAACAAGAGTATGCGGAGAATATGGAATATTTCCAAGAGTCTAAAAAAAATTCGGCTGACATAGTAGAAGAATATCGAAAAATGTTTGCCGACATACAAAAGACTCCAACATCAGATGAAAATATCCAGCATAGAATGGAAGAACTGAAAAAAAATGTACACAAATACAACAACCCTTTTTACTTACGAGCATTTAACGTTCAATCTTTGGATGAACTCGGTGAAAATAAAAGGTTAAATTTCAAGAAAACATATAGAAATGAAACATTGTTTAAAGTTCATTCAGAACCTAACCAAGATGGAAACAAACCTACTTTTGTTTCTGCAGACGATGGAACTACAATGAGATGGGGTCATAAAGCTAATCCGGATAGGTGGTTCATAAACTTACAACCACAATTCCAAGAAGTTGTAGACGCAATGGAAGTCAATGGTGAACCAGATATAGCTGGTATTTTAAGCGCGGCTTTAATGCCATTGAAAGATATGAAACATGCAGATATTTTGGACCAGTATGAAATGAACATGGCTGATGGAAATATAACACCTGACGTTCTAGAACATTTATCTCAAAGAACTACACAGAACCATAGAGATGGTATATTTGGTGAAGAGTTTAGAAAGACAGTTAGGGAGAGAGAAGGAAGAGAACCTATTGTACATGACCTTGCAAACGAAAGTTTACAAAATGTCATAAAAACTTACTTTGCAGACGATGAATCGAGAAGGGATGAATATTTAAGAAAACTCAAATGGACAGTACCAAATGAAATGTTAGTATTGAAAAACATGTTCCTTGACAAAATAAAACCAACTACAGAAATAAACGACGCAAGACTGAAAGATTGGGTAAAAGCTTTCCCATTCACAAAAGATATAGTTGGTAACATGGAAAGAAAACCAGAATGGCTACAAAAACATATATTTGGAAACGAGCTTATTCCATATGGACAGGCACTGTTTGAAGCGCTTGAACCGGAAACTCAGGAAAGAGTCATGCAAACAATACGCGAAGACTCAAATACAAACTATGACAAAATCTTTCTAGGATATAGGTTACCTGAGATGGGCGACCAGAGCCCAAAGGCAAAAAGGACATGGGAAATTTACAACATACTAGGTGAACATGAGGCAAAGATGCAACAACTTGAAGCAGAGGGCAATGAAGGAAAAAGAAGAGTTAAAAACTCAGTCAGGAAGAAAGTAAAGCTTGGTCGGAGTGGGTTCTATTATGACATATAAATCCAACTATTCTATATTTTTACTCATATGAAATGTACGCCGCTCAGAATATAACGCCAACAGTTTTGGATGCTATGAATGGAAATGTTTCCGAATGGTATAACGAATGCGACAATGCCATTAGAAGGTCAGAAATAGTTCCTGGAACTTACGAATATACAACTGCTGTTTCTTATGGAAACGTAGGTGAGTTTGGAGAAGGTTCTTCAACAACAGTAGATATTGCTTGCGACAGGTTTCATATAATTTCTATTGACAACTCTTTCTTATACGTGGAACAAGACATTGAAATAAAACCTTCTGCCAAGTTGTCTGACAAGAAAGGTTGCAATGGAATTTTCTATGTCGGATACCAATATGCTCCAGAAGTTTTCATGGGATATAAGATATATTCTAACTCTGACTTAGTTCAAACAGTAACATGGGCAAACTATGAATGGTTCGCTTTAAGAAACTCAGTACAACCACAAGCTAGAGAACAAACAGACCAGTATGCAACTATTGAGAAAATAAGAAGACTTGACCCTAACGTTCCAGGAGTTTATGTTAACCTTTCTGGTTCAGATGGAAATGCTGTCACTAAAGTAAAACTGAAACTTAGAGTTCCTTTGTCATCTTTCCTCATCTTCAGGTTTTTAAGATACTTGCCAAACTGGGCAGGAAAAATTTCTATTGAACTTACTCCAAGCAAAAATAACTTAGTCATTGCACCAACGCAAGACCCATTCACTCTTACAGACGTAAAGGGAGCAAATCAAACGTCATTCGCCGAATTTTGCAAAGACAAAGTTGACTTAGACTTTGGTTTCTCAAACCTCAACACTGAAGTAAAGTATTATTTCAATGCTGCTGGAACTGCTTGGGACCCAGTTAGGTTTACATGCGAAAAATTTGAATGCAAGAGAATAGAAAGCAGACTTGCAGTCTATATGTTGGACCCAGATATTTCAAATGCTTTAGCTGCCAAATATATTGCAGTTCCACTTATGTTCCCTATACACCAAATATCTGTCAAAGACTTTGCAGGTGAAGTTGGAAACCAAAATCCAGGAACCGCAGGTGCAAGAACAGATATTGCTTTAACAACTGCAATGAAACATGCAGATACTATGTTTGTACTGTTCAGACGAACTATAAATGACTATTCTTGTTTCTACAACCCCGGTATTAAATATCATATAAACATAGATGGCAAATATTATCCAAGAGAAGAATATTCTACAGTTGAGGATATGAGGTCATACAACTTGACATTAGATGCTATGAACTTTAACAACAACTTCACAACAACCATTAACCCTGAAATGCAAAGTTCTATTATGCCATATGTGAAAGTATGGACTCATACAGGAAGTCAAAAAACTCAATATACAAATGGAGACCGTTCAAACTTTTGGCTTGGCATTCCATTTGCTGACTCAGAAGACTTTATGGGTGGTATTTCAACTGTTGGTACTGTACAAATACAATATACTGGTGACAGAGACGGTCCATATGAACTGAGAGCAATGAAGTTTACAAAACCAATAGCACTTTTCACGGAAGATGCTCTTTTGAAGATTCGTTCGATGAAACCTGCTGGGGCTCCTCAGATTGGCATAACGACAGCTTCCATCGAGCAGATTTTGGCAGCAGGTCAGTAAGTTGTTCTTGAACTGACTTCTCTCCGTCAAATATTGACAGTACGCCAGTTTTGACATAAAATTGTATTATAAACTTTCCTTTAGAAATATCGGTCAGTTTTGTTGTTATATTTTTGTCTGCTTCAAGAACTTTCACCATTTCGGTTATACCAACTTTCTTTGCTTTATGAAAATATTTTGGTTCAGCAAAGACTGCTATTCTATAACATTTACCATTGTTTGTATAAAGAACTATTCTGTCAATGTATTTGTATTGTTTGTGTGTGTAAACTTTGTTCTGCTTCAATTCGAAGAGATACTCGAATACGTCCATCTTTTTATTCTAAGTAAAATGTCATTTCCGAAAAATAGAAGCGTAAGTGTTTCAAAAGGTTTAATGGCGGTGGCAGATGTGAAGTTAAATTCACCAACTCAAACAAACAGTCAAAGTGTTGTTGTCAATGTCAAAGACAGAGATGTTGAAGTGGGGAAACCATACGAGGACGAAGATGGTATAACAATTGTTCCTGTAAAAGAACAACCAACATATCCTGAAGTTAGCAGAGACTTAAGTTCTGTTGCAGATATTCGAAACGACTACCAACAACTGAAAGACAAACTTCAAACTCAGGAGAAGATTTGTCAAGCTTTAGGTATAATGTTAAACTTGGTTGAGCACAACCCTGTAAAAGTGAACTCATATGTCATTGCACCTCATGAAGTTTTGAAAGAACTATTGAAACTTTTGACAGAGGCAGACGATATAAACATCAAAGAAATAGAACCCGACGTTAGTTGCTGTGGTGTTTCATATAATGTCATTGACAAGATATACGTTATGAAAGGAGGTGAAACGTTGAACTTAAAATATAGTTTCCCAGACGTCATAAAAATATTTGACGACCACAACATTTCATTAAAATTTATTTGCTAAGTAAAATGGCAGAAGACATAGTGGTTTATACTATTACGACTAAAAACCCTGAGTCATATAATTCTATAACAACAAACTTACAAAGTCCTCAAGGACGATATTGTAAACTAACTTTAAACACAATGACGACTAAAGCCTGTTTTGCTCTTTTGACA